AGGGATAGTGAAGAAAGACGAAACGAGATGAGATAAACAAATAGGATAAGATAGGAAGGCGATATAAACAATAGGATAAGATAGCAAGACGATATAAACAAAACGGGCGGCGAAGATGATATAAAAAAATTGCGCGTGGACATGACGTCAGGGAGGGGCGCCACCATCGCCGCGCCCGCCGCCGCCACCGCCACCGCCGAGTAAAAAATAAATATCTTTCTGTATACCTATTATCTCCTCCGTTGCGGTTCTCTCTCTTTTATAGCGTTATTTTTCTAATTATTTTATGGTGGGGAAGAAAGAAATGAAAGAAATACATGTTTTTGCATATTATATATGTTTATATTTTTAAACAAATTGAATACATTTAAGTGTAAAAATTTTTTTTATTCACATTTTTCTTATACACTAGAAACTAAAGCTAACAGCTCGCAATCGACGAGTTAACGTCTATCGAAGATATCGTAATCGCGTATCACGTTCGGCACTTCCTCGGGATCTGTTACAACAGACGCGATGTTGGAGAATCGCGTATACTTGGTATCGATCGTATCGACGAATCTGAGTTGATCGAACGTCACATCGATACATTCGTCCAAATCAAACATATGGCGCAGGGTCGATTCGATCATCGTTACGCATACGTTCAAAGATTCAAGACGTACGAATGTAACGTCGTTCATCTGGTAAACTCTGACGGTTAACGATCCGACGCTTATAAAATTATCTTTGTAATCGTTTCGCAGCAATTTGTAAATATTCCATCGCTGCTCGTAGAGTCCCTTCCACGTTTCGAGAGACAGTATCAATTCCTGTCCCCGATGATCTCCCAGAGCGATCTGCACGTAGCTCGGGGGACCAACATTGATTCCAATTTCCAGAAATTTGTAACCCGTGGCCGTCAGAGTGTAACGTCTGCTCAGTAAGCGCACCGCGCGACGCTCCACCAAAATACTGTGGAAATTAAATATATAATATTGCAAAAATATTGGAAAAAAAGAGAAAAAAATAAAAAAAATGCAGTTGAAACTTATGCGTTACATTCCTTATTTTGTTTTTCGCCATTGTACGGTGCGCTGCTTCCTTTGGCGGAATACATTGCGTGTTGTTCGAATGATGGAGGAGCGGAGTACCTTTTTTGTCGTGCAGATCGTTCAATGAAGGAGGACTGATCGCGTAAATTTTTTGACATGGCAAACCGAGGGAGAATAAGAAGGGAGGGTGTGCGTCGCGACGGGGCCCGACCACGAACTAGTCGTGAAAACTCGTAATTATTTTGCGAAAAAATACCACCTCAGTCAGGAATTGAACCTGGATCTCCTGCTTACGCAGGCACCTTATCCTTTCGACTACCGAGGCATGTGATAATATTTATCGCAAATAACGTGTTTAGAATTAACACGTCAA